AGAGCCGAAAACAGATAGGAGAATTAAGTGCTGAGAGCACGGAGTAGAGCCTCCTGTGCTTACGCATGACGCACACACCCAGGCGGAAGCTAGAGAGTTGAATTCAACACTTTCAAAGTGTCTATATTGGTCCACTCTAGATTGAGTTAAAACAACACTTTTGAAAGAGTTAAACATGACAGAGTTGAAAGAACACTCTGAGTTGATGAAATTTAACACATATGAGTGCTGAATCCTGGTCTGATAAATAGGGATGGTGTTCATCCCACCCTGGATGGAGCTTCTCTCCTTTCCAGAAATCTGACAAAGTTGATTAAATCCCAAACATGACAATTAGGAAATTACCAAATTCATGCTCTGATTTCTTAGCCGAATTTGCAGATTTTTTGTCAGAATTAGTTCTCTGTTCTGACAGAATTATCATAGTCGGCGATTTTAACATCCACATAGATGTAGCCAATGACAGTCTGAGCTCATCCTTTAAAGCTCTGCTCGACTCAATTGGCTTCAAACAACAGGTTAACAAACCTACTCACCGCCACAAGCACACCCTAGACCTTATTCTAACCTATGGCATTGACATATATAACATGGTGGTATTTAATGAAAATCCCCTTCTGTCTGATCATTTTCTCATCTCTTTTGAATTTATAGCCACACACGCTCATAATTCTAGACAGCACCATTATTATAGTCGCTGTTTATCTGAGAGCTCCGTGCAACAGTTCCACGAACAGCTCTCTTCTGCCCTTCAGTCAAGTTTCTGTTACACAGATTCAGATTTAGAAAATTACATGACAATATCCCCCACAAAATTTAATGATATAGTAAATAAAACAAACTTAACTTTAAAAACTGTCATAGACAATGTAGCCCCCCTAAAAAAGAGAATTATGTCTCAAAATAAATCCGCCCCATGGTTTAATACCCAAACTCGCGCCTTAAAATTAGAAACAAGGAGATTAGAAAGAGCATGGCGTTCCACACATAACGACAGTCACTATGTCCTGTGGAGGAACAGCTTTGATAATTACAAAAGAGCTCTGAAACATGCAAAAACAACTTATTACTCAGAGTTAATAGACAAAAATAAGAGCAATCCCAGGTTCCTTTTCAGCACTGTAGCCAGGCTGACAGAGAGCCAAAATGTAATCAACCCAAAAATACCTCTATCTCTGCGTAGTAACGACTTTTTAACATTTTTTAATGACAAAATAGATAAAATCAGAGATAAAATTAATCACCTCCTTCCTCCACACATGACCAAAATGCAGTTTAGCATGAATAACCTAGACACAATGGTGACTCCAATCTTACAATTAAATGAATTTAACCCTTTAAATCTCCCCGAGCTAAGGTCTCTGGTCTCCGCTGCTAAATCAACCACCTGTCAGCTGGATCCTATACCAGCTAGACTAGTTAAAGAGTCCCTTCCCCAAATAGGTCACATAATATTACAACAAATAAATATGTCCCTACTGAGTGGCTGTGTCCCAGAGGCATTCAAAATAGCAGTAATTAAACCATTACTTAAAAAGCCTTCTCTGGACGCTGGCACTCTAGCTAATTATAGGCCCATTTCAAATTTACCTTTTATTTCTAAAATCTTAGAAAAAGCTGTCGCTTCCCAATTGTGTGATCATCTGCATGACAATAATCTATTTGAAAAATTTCAATCTGGGTTTAGAACCCATCATAGCACAGAGACTGCACTATTGAGAGTACAAAATGATGTTCTCGTGGCCTCTGATAAGGGACTGGCGTCTATCCTGGTCCTTCTGGATCTCAGCGCAGCGTTCGACACAATTGACCGTGAGATCCTGTTACATAGGCTGGAAAAAGATGTCGGGATTAAAGGATCAGCACTTGCCTGGTTCAAATCCTATTTGTCGAACAGGTTTCAATTTGTTAACGTAAATGAGGAATCCTCCATACTCACTAAAGTGAACTATGGAGTTCCTCAGGGTTCCGTGCTTGGCCCAATTCTTTTCACTTTGTACATGCTGCCACTAGGCAACATCATCAGGAAGCACAACATAAACTTTCATTGCTATGCAGATGACACCCAATTGTATGTATCGGTACGGCCAGATGACCCAAACCCCTTAATTAAAATCCAAGATTGTCTTAGAGACATTCTGACATGGATGACCCAGAATTTTCTAATGCTTAACACAGAAAAAACTGAGGTCATAGTTTTAGGGCCTAAACATATAAGAGCACCATTGTCAAATCTAACTATAACCATAGGTAGTTCTACCCCAGTCCCCTGTGGTAAAGCAAGGAACCTGGGTGTCCTGTTTGATCAGGATTTATCACTACAAAAACATATTAACCAAACCTGTAGAACAGCCTTCTACCACCTACGTAACATTAAATCCATTAGAAAAATGTTATCACGACCAGATTCTGAAAAACTAATCCATGCCTTTATAACCTCCAGGCTGGATTATTGCAATTCGCTACTATCAGGATGTCCCAATAAGTCCTTAAGAAGCCTTCAACTGGTCCAGAATGCGGCAGCACGCATACTGACCGGAACTAGAAGACGAGAACATATAACCCCCGTCTTGGCTTCAATACACTGGCTCCCAGTAAAAAGTAGAATAGACTTTAAAATACTTTTAATCACATACAAGGCCCTAAATAATCAAGCCCCATTATACATTTGTGATTTAATTACCCCATACAAACCAAATAGATCACTGCGCTCCCAAAATTCGAATCTATTGGTCATCCCTAAAATAAATAAAAATAGAACGGGTGGTAGAACTTTTAGTTACCAGGCTCCTCTCCTGTGGAACCAGCTCCCACTCTCAGTAAGAGAGTCAGATTCTGTCTCGTCCTTTAAAGTGAGACTCAAAACCCATTTGTATAGTATAGCCTATAGCCTAAATTAGATTAAACATGCCCCGACTAGAACAGTCTAAAAAGATGCTGCTATAGGCCTAGACTGCTGGGGGGCATTGCATTTCATTTCATTTCACTTCATCTTGCACTTATAATGAGGACACAGACTCTACGGTCTTACTTTATTCTTCTGTCCTGTCCTATATTCATACCGACCACCATGTATACACTTAGGAAACTGGTCCCACTCTTTTACAGTTCTGCTGCCACCGGTGAACAGGAGGAGCACAGGACTACTGCCACTACCACGACTTTTTTTTCTTCATTGGTTTTTATGTATTTGTACAATGTATGTTCTGATAACATCTATTGCACGTCTGTCCGTCCAGGGAGTGGATCCGTCACCTGTGGTTCTCCCTAAGGTTTCTACCTTTCTCTTTTCTCCCTGTTGAAAGGGTTTCTCTTTCGGTAGTTTTTCCTTACCCTGGCTGACGGTCTAAGGACAGAGGATGTTACCAACCCTGTGAAGCCCCATGTGACAAACTGTATTTTGTAAATGTGGGCTATATAAATAAAATTTGATTTGATTGATTTTGATTTGCACACAGCTCGTACTGTTGTGATTTATTGTTACAAACACAACAGTTTTGTTTCATGTTGATGTTTGTTTCTGGCCACAGAGAATGTTTCTGAGTTAAAGTTAGTAAACAACCAAAACAAACAAAAAAAAATAACTAAAGTGAAGGAAAAAAAGTGAGTCCAAACCTGATCAGCGACGATATCCTAGTGTTCAAAACAACGCATCAGCACAGAAAATAACATTGTTCTCACACAGTTTTCTTTGGTCTCCCAAAAGAATGGCACAAATCTGGATACGATTATAAAAGTACAAACATGCAAAAGAGGGACAGCAGGCTAATAAACAAAGAACAAACCAAGTGGACTCCAGGTTCAGTAGAATTCCACAAACATAAATATAGTGTTAGAGGCTTTGGTTTAATGGTGTATCTGCTAAGGATTAGTGTTTAGCTTCAACAACGTAGTGTCACTGTCTTCTTTTCTTTAGACCCAGGCAGGGTTACTTCATCCAGGCTGCAACAACGGTGCATGTGTCCGTTTAGGGTTTTCAGTTATTATTTTAACATTCGTGTCGTCCACGTTGGACGACACTGAAGGTCCGCGTAGTTTAACAATACTTTAAACAGTATCAGCTTCAAGCAAAACAAGGTTATTTTCACTGTTTTTGTAGTTGATTTTTGTCGCCTCTCAGTGTCTACGAAAAACAACACACGCTGCACTACGTCAGACAGTCAGACTGCTGCTTGTTTCCTAGACAACTGAGGTCTAAAAGAACGAGCAGAAACTGTTCCCTTGAAAGTGGAACATGTGAGACTAGGTTTTTAATTTTAAACTCTCTAAAGATTCTAGGGTTGGTTTTTAACCCTATCTACTGTAACAGATATCCAGACCAGAAACCTCCAGACGGTCATCGCCATCGACTCATGAGTCCACAGGTTCGAGGGCGTGGTATTTACCAATGTGTCTGTTTCTGTCTCCAGTCTGCGTGAACGTCTGTCCACAGTGTGGACAGGAGTACGGTCTCTCCCCCGTGTGCACGCGCATGTGAACGTTCAGTTTGTCTTTGCTGATGAAGCGTTTGCTGCAGCAGGTGCAGGCGTACGGTTTGTCCCCCGTGTGGTAGCGCTGATGCATCTTCAGCTCCGTCATGCGTCCGTACCTCCTGCCGCACTCCCGACACTCGTAGCTGGGCCGGACCTCCATGTGCTGTCTGCTGTGCAGCCGCAGCCCGCTGGACGACCTGAAGGCCTTGCTACACTGGGAGCACTGGAAGGGTTTCTCTCCTGTGTGAATGTTGACGTGCAGCTTGAGGCTGGCGGCCGAGGGGAAGCCGTTGCCACAGACGGAACACAGGTGAGGTCTCTCCCCCGTGTGGATGCTCAGGTGCTTCTCCAGTTTGTTCTTGTTCAGGAAAGTCCTGCCGCAGATTGGGCAGCAGGACGGCTGCTCGCCCTCGTGCGTGTTCATGTGCTCCGTCAGCTCGGGCAGCGTGGGGAAGGCGTAATCGCACCTGGTGCACGTGTAGGGTCGCTCTTTTCTGAACTTCCGGTGTTTGAGACTGTGCTGTTCCAGTTCCTCCTTTGTCTCAAACGTGTCCATGCACCACGTGCACTGGAACGGCCGCTCCACGGTGTGAGTCCGCAGGTGATACTTCAGGGCTGTTAGCTGTAGAAAGACGATGTTACAGTGTGGACACCTGGATTCCCGTCTTTCGTGAACCTGGGTGTGCCGTTTGTAGTGCGACAGTTTGATGAAGTGTTTCTTACACAGTGAGCAGTAGTACTGTTCGTTACCGTGTCCTTCTTCGTGCTTCTTCAGTGCATACTCCACCTTGAACCTCTTCCCGCAGCTGTGACAGGAGTAGGGTTTGTCGTGCATCTCCATGTGCGTCTCCAGCTCTTCTGGATCGTCAAAGGTTTTCTGACATTTCGGACAAATCCCGTCTTTGGCGTGTCTCTGCATGTGCTTGGTGAGGTCGATCTGAAAGGCGAAGCTCTTCTGGCACTCGGGGCAGCCGTACTTCTCTTGGTTCGCTGCCTTGTGATGCGTCAGTATGTGCCTCTTCAAGTGGTACGTTCGACCAAAGACTTTGCCGCAGTCGCCGCAGATGTGACTCTGAGGACCGGGGGTCTTGGGTACCTGGAAGTGACTGACAGCAGACTTCTCCTCTACCTGCTTCTCACATTTCTTGGCTGAATGGGTTTTCCGGTGGACTTTCAGATCCTGCCAAGTACTTAGATTTTTTCCACATTTGGAGCAGATGTATTTGCCCAGGTTGTGTTGGTTCCGCAGGTGTCGGGTCATGTGGTAGGACTGGCTGAACGTCAAAGCGCAGACGGGGCAGGTGAAGGGTTTCTCCTTGGTGTGCGTCCTCATGTGTCTGGCGAGTTTATTTGCCCCCCTGAAGCCTCTACCAACACAGATGGGGCAGAAATGACCCTTTGTTTTACTCTTGGGTGGTAACTTCTTTTCTTTGGCACCGTCACCGTCCTGGGATTCCTCTGCCCCCGAGTCCATGGTTTCTACCCCCTCAGACTCTGGGGAGTCTTCGTTAACAGAGTCCGTTTGGTTCTGATCGGCCTCATCACCGAGGTGGTCGCTCTGGTTCTTCACCTCCTCCGTGTCTGCTGTCGTAGAGTGTGACTGGACGTGGATTAAATATGTATCCGTGTCGGTGAAAACCTCCTGGCAGTGCAGACACGTGACGCTCTCCGACACATGCTCCTTCTTGTGACTCCGTAACTCTGCAGAACTTCCTAAAGTTTTCCCACAGGTGAAGCAGACGTGCTGCCCGGCGCCGTGCTGGTTCCTCAGGTGTCGGATCATGTGGTACGACTGGCTGCAGGTCACTGCGCAAACAGGACAGCGGAAGGGTTTCTCCTTGGTGTGAGACCTCATGTGTCTGGCCAGCTTGTTCACGTCTCTGAAGAACCTGTTGACACAGATGGGACAGTAGGGGCGCTCTTTCTTTAACTGCTTATCCTTCCTCAGGCTGCTGACAGAAATGAGAAGATCTTTATCTGTAGATTTGTTGCAACGTGAGACGGAGGCTTTCTTACTGTTCTCATCAACACCACAGGTCTCATCATCCTCAGCTGCACTGGTGCAGTCATCCTCTTCATTATCACTATAATACAGTTTGTCATTACTGTAATAGAAGTTGTCCTTGAAAGAAGATTTAGCCGGGACTTTAGCCGCCTGAGGTTTGGCCTTGATTCTTATCTCTCCACGCCGAGGACGCCCTCTTTTGGCCTTTTTTTTAACAGGAGGGTAAACGTCGTCTCCAATGTCCACACTGACTTCATGAAAATCAAACTGTTCAGACTCAGTCAAAGCCGATTCCACTTCTTTGGAAATAAGCATCGCTTTGGACAAGGTGAGAGTTTCTTTCTCCAGCAGCAACCTTTCTCTGAGACGCAGAGACTTGGTTTTTAGTGTCAGTTGATTCAAAATCACTTCGTCCTTCGCTCCTTCATAGTTGCAGGGCTGCAGCAGCTCGTCTAAAGCCGACACAAACTGATCCACGGTCTCTTCGGGCTTCTGAGCTCTCTGATGGAATTTAAGGCGGCTCGTCTGAGTGCTGCGGTCAGAGGTGAAGAAACTCGTTAGCACCGAAATGGCCGCGGCGTACGTGCTCCCGCTTTGGATCAACGTGCTGAAGATCCGTTGGCCCTCGAGGCCGAGACAGTTTTGGAGCAGTAGACATTTACTGGAGTCGGCCAGCTCCGTCTCACCTAGTGCACCGAGATAGGTTTCAAAAGCTTTCAGCCACTTGTGCCAGAACGTGGTGGGTTCACCAGGGACAGGGAGGAACGCCGGGGGCGGAGACAAAATGAGGAGGAACGGCTCTGAGAAGGGTTTTAAGGACGCCTCGTGTCTGACGACGTCCTCATCAATCTCTTCCTTCACTTCACACATCTTTAGTGTTCCTTCAATCCTCCTTCAATCTTCACCAACACCAACTCAGGTTCTCCTTTATTTGATGTTTGGGTCGTGAAAGGTGAGACGCTGTAATAGAAGAGAAGAGATGTAAATTAGAATTTCTTAGACTCACTTTCTTGGGATCGAATCCAGCATCACCTTTGGTAACGCCACAAACATGATGACCACTGCGCAGACGGCTTTCGGAAGCAACTCAAAAATCTCCTAGAGCTTTTTGTGTAACATCATCCAGGACATTTAATCCAAAGAACTACAGACCCAGGCCGAGCATCGATTATTAACAACAGAAATGTCCCCGGTTCAGCCTTTACAGACGAATCCTTGGTAGATACAGAAAACATCATAAATCAGAAAGAGAACTTTTCAAAATCTATCATTTTTAAACAGGAACGCAATTTATTTTATTTTACCTATCCGTGTGTTTTTACTGTTTT